TGCCCAAGAAATGTGATAGCAGGTAGAAATAACATTCACGAGGGCGTATGACTACTTTACGAACGTTGTATATTACTGCTACTGCGTACATTTCCGTGCGGTTGTGCTCTACAGCTCTCTGATGTGTTTTTGGACTGCACCGCATGTTGTGGGGTGTGATGTCTGGGACCGTTGTTAGTTTTGCTGCCTTGCCCATCCTTGTATTTATTGTTGAAAAATCGTCAGGAATTGACATACTTTTGCAATTTGTACTCATAGACTTTATTTATTTTCCGTATTTATTTTTAGTGATTTGATTACCTTTCCTATACGTTGCACTCCAACCGTTTTTGTTTGTATTGTTTGTTACTTTAACTTTCTGACCCACTCCTACTGTGAAAAAAAGCTTCATAGCTCATCGGATTTATCCAGGATAAATAAAGATTTAGATTTTGATGTCACTGCACGCACGGGGCAAGCATCCTCGGGAACGAAACGACTCCCGTTGGTCCATTCACATCCTGACTCAGTCGGTTCTGATTTAGTTCTCGAAGACGCCTCCCGTAACCGTGGAGCGAATCATCAGAACACGTGCCGAACGACACGCGACACGACCGTGAAACACATGGGAGAGGAGCTCTCACAGCATTTGCTATCGTTGTCAGCGGGTCTCTCTCTCTCTCTCTCTTTGCCCAGTAGCATTTGCAATTCCTGGCCACTCACTGATAAGTACAATTCCCACGGGTGGTGCGGTGAGCGCTGCTACTCTTGGTCCGAAGCCAAGCTGTGTTCACGGAGGGGCCCTTTGGGTCGCAGTTGCAGCTGGTAATGATGGAGGCGACAGCAGCAAGTCTCATTCTGCGCGTCGTGCGTTCATTCATCTTGGCGGTGGGCGAACCACACGCAACGTCGGAAAGTACCCGGTTGACCCAGCGAACTTTGCGGCAACGTGCACGTTTGTGCAGGGGAGATGAATTGGAACGGTATGTTCGTGAGCTCTAATAAGAGCGAGAGGAAAAACATGTCCTGCCGTCGACTGTCAGATTTCCTTTCGGGATGTTGTTTGGCTGAGACATTAAGCACCATTTGCCAACGGACATTTATATTAAAACACGTGTACATTTACTGTGTTTGAAGTGGCACTCAAGCGCACAAAAAGAATACGTAAAAAAAAAAACTTTCGGTGTAATGGCCTTGACTCAAGAGCGGTGAGAGTGGGCAGAGATGTTGACTGACTTGAGTGTTTTGGAGATTGAGCTGTGCACGGTGGGACCCTGACACAAGTGGGACAATAGAATGAAGTTGCAAAAGGCGATTTTAAATTAGCATACGAGCAACTGTGTATTAATAGACAGAGTGCTCAAGCACAACAATGGCATGTTCCATGGGCAGCATTGACTGCTGTAACATCTAAACAATGACTGCCCAGTTCGGTCAAAGTGACAGAACGGAGAGTCAATGGGTTCGCACACGCGGCCGATGAGTCCAATCCTGGCTGCACCTGCACTCTGGAGAGATGTGCCTCGATTATCGCGTCACATCGCTCCATCGAGACCAGTGGCGTGGCTGTTGCCAATCGCATGGGCCCGAGTTATTAAATGTTTGTGTTTAGACTGTTGTCCCTGCCCCCGCACCTCCTACGTATGGTAAGAAAGACGTTGAACCTACATACATATTCTTTGGTTCTTTCGGTAAAGTCACGTAGGTATAAAATAAAATACATTTTATGTGATTTAATTTCTTTCATTTAATTTTCTACCTACGTGACTTTACCGAAGGAACCAAAGAGTATGGATCCCTGCAGTCACGAAAACTTCAAATCTACATACATATGTCAGCATACTTTGTGGGACACCTGGAAGAACAAAGCGATGCAACAATTCTAGATTTTAAGTTTTCGTGACTGCAAGGATTCGTGACTGCAAGGATTCATACTCTATGGTTTTTTTTACCTACGTGACTTTACCGAAAAAACCAAAGAGTACGATGCAACAATGTCCAAGCACCAAGCCTCATTCTTTTGGGAGATAAATAGATATACGGATGACTGTGTAGGCATTGTTTCTTGCTCGAAAAACAAGTTCAAGTCTGTGGGCCATGAGATGGCAGGTTGGCACAATGGGCTCAGTCCACAAAATAATTCGCATCTATTGGGTCCGTTAATTCAATCTACGTGGAGGTTTGAGTGTTATCCGCTCGCGTGTTTGTATTTGTGTGGGGTTTATCTGGGTACTCCCACGTTTCTCCCACGTGAAAGCCGCTCGTTAATGGAAATGGCCAAACATTTCGATGTAGCATGACCCTTTGAAAAAGTATTGTACCTCCAATTGTGTTCAGGAGCTCAATGAAATACTCAATGTATGGATGGCATCGTCATCATCGTGGTCACGGTCATCGGTCATTTTTAATCCACTGCTACAGGAAGGAATTTCCATCCCTCACAGTCCTGCGATGCCACAATCCATCTAACTCTTGCCGATCAATTTTCCAAAAGCTGTCCATCCAACTCGTTTCTCTTTTTGTTTCATCTAGGCTTACGTAATCTGCTATGTTTTACAGTTGTATCCCTCCAACAAATCATTGTTTGATAATTGTTTTTTTACCCTTCTATCTGGCAACAAACTGACACCTTTTTACAAGGAGTCATGTTTGCATAGACCACAATACCTGCCGTCATAATGCAAACAAAAAACATAACTCTGATAATGTGCACTGTCCTTGAAGTTGATTGGTCCACACCCGAGACAGCTTTCCTTAGAGCCTAGTCTCACATGGGTTGGACCAGATGACGCCAAAAGGCGCACGATGACGGCAGGTATTGTGGTCTATGCAAACATGACTCCTTGTAAAAAGGTGTCAGTTTTGTTGCCAGATAGAAGGGTAAAAAACCAATTATCATATTTTTACTGGCAAATGAGGTTCCCATAGTGTAAATCATTGTTTCTCAACACTAGTTGTGTATCATTTTTATTTAACTTATATTTATCTTGAGTCCAAAGTTACAGCCTTGTTTGTTAAGTTATTCGATCATGTGTTTATACTTTAGGAATGCAAATTACTTGTTTGGTTTTCAAATTTACATGGATATTGCAAAAGTTAAAATATAATTCTGCGTGTGAGCTGTTAAATAATTTTCTGATTCACAATACGAATATGGCAAATGCATGTCCAAAACAATTCAGTCGCACAGCATGCATGCACCTATAAATACAAAGCTCCCCGATATAGCCTGTTGGGGAAAATGTTGTGAGTGACCACCTCTGAAGGCCAGCACGGTACATAAGGTGGCCATCACCATGCACGGCTGCCTTTGTCTCCTGAGTGGCAATATGTGTACATCACATCAGGTACTCAGTTGAAGCTGAGTCACGAGCACGCACAACCACATCAGCCGCAAAAACGTTATTCTGCTGCTTCTCTAATGGTTTTACGCTCCTGAAAAAAAAATCACGCGATGTTTTTATAACCATTTTATATATATATATGACATATACGTTCCCCGAGCGTGCAATATTTCTCATGAAAACTGCATAAAGGTAATACATTAAATACAATTGAGTCGATAATGAGAAAGTAAATTGCTCTTGAAAAAATAACGGTCGAAGAGAGGTACAGACTGCTCTCGAGAGTAGCAATGAGTCACACTGCCCAAAAAAAATTTGCCGCTTGTAAATTCGTCATCACGGACAGATTATACGCATTTACAAGGCCCCTTTGTCTTCCACAATCCCTATCTTTTGACAGCTTTCTCTGTAATGCCTTTATTTTTCTCCGCTTGTGAATGTAAAGCAGGTGAAATCATCTGCTTCTCCTCATCGTTTTCATGGTTTATGATGAAGTTGTAATGACCCGTATACAGCACAAATCATAGTGCGATGTCGCGTCAGCACGAGCACAAATGACAAAAACATTCCAATACGTTCGTCAACAACACTTTCCCAAAAAATAATGCAATAGTCGAATTCCTCAGGCAATGTGCCCACCCATCCCGCCCTTTAAATCAGAGAGCCAAAATAGATTTTCCTCTGGTGAATGCATGCAGCACAGGTATTGCAAACTGTGCCAAAGGCGTGTGTCAAAACATCAATTGCTCACGTTACATTTCTTCTCTGGTGACGATAATAATGATGAACCGAGGCCAACGCTGAGGGGTGTAAATCATGTCCCTTGTATTGCTTCCAAATTTAAAAATAACTAAAATTAACAGAGCTTGATTTTAATGCGAAACTCTCTAAAATCATCCCAGAACATCGAAAGTCCCCACATTGTCAGTTGCATCATGATTCACCACTCAAGGCAATGCACTGGCATGTCGTTCTCCCATCTTCCGGTGTCGTGCGTTATTCTCTTTCCCATGACATCTCTTTTGTACTTTTCGAGGTGGCAACCCCATTGTCCGTACAGTACGCATGTATGTTGAACTTCTTTCGCGCCGTACGTAGCCGATCACGCTCGTCGTAGGTGGATGGGAAGGACAACAAAGTAGACACAAAAAGCAGTTCTAAAGAAATGAGTTTTCAATCGAGGTTTTAAAGTGCACAGCTCCGCAGTGGCTTCCTAATATCGGAAGGAAGAGCGCTCCAGACGGCCGCAGAAGCGCATCTGAAAGCGCGCGATGCGGCGGCAACCGCCTTTGTTCGATGGCCAGCCCAAAAGTTCAATGGCTAGCCCAAAAATTAAAAACCAGGAAAGTGCGTACTGTATTCCCGTCCTTCAAAAAATAAGTAATATTAAAAAAAAAAATTTTTTAAAACGCTGCCAAGCTTAGCAGTGTTCATGAGGATGCTGTCTTTCCGATAGCTCTGTTCTTCACCTGAAAACGGCTGCTTGCGTTGTGGCCGAAACGTCGTGAGAATTTTTGTAACGTTTAATTTTCATTATTTCCCTTCTACGTGACTCTACCGAAAGAACCAAGAACATGAATCCCTGCAGTCACGAAAGCTTTAAATCGAAAAATAAAAGCGCGTAATAAAAATGTGAACTTTCAACGGGCCCCGCGTAACGGGACGTTTTGTGTGCAGAGTCCACGTGCCACGAGGACGCGATGCCGCCCGTGTACTGCGGGCTGCTCGCGACCACCGGAGGCTGCGTCGCGCCGGGCGGGCGCTCTGAGTGCTGCAGGACGTGCCGCCGGTTCGCGGTCGCCGGCCCGCACGGAGACGCCGGCGGGGAGCCCTCCCCGAGGGTGGCAATGGGCACGGTTTGACACCGGTGGTGGTGGTGGTGATGATGGAGCAGTGTGTGTGTACGTATAAAAATCTACGTGTCCTCCATCACCATGTACACAAGCATCTCCTAAAACTAGTGTTGGCCAATTTGTTGTTAATTTTTCAACTTGACTTTTTGCAATTAAATATCGGTTCGATGATGATGATGTGACTACCAACGCAGTCGATAGTCAAATTCGGTAATCTTATCAAACGAACGATCGCTGGCCCACAGAGGGCCTTCTTACTGCTGCTCCTGGCCGTTCGGATAAATTGGACATGAGACCTCTGGACACATCGCATTCAAACCTCCTCCTCCACAAGCGAGCCGCTCACTCACAGTCCACCGGCACTCGCTATTCGCTGCCCGTTGAGATGTTAGTTTGAATCGATCAATCGATTTAGTCAAAAGTCGATCAATTCCATTGGACGGCTGCTCGTTGCGGAACGCCGCTCGTCACGCTGGAAGGAAGGCGCACAGTCAGGCAGTGCTGCCACACGGGTGCACATCGCGTTGTACACATGGGGGACCTTTGAATTTACATCGTCGGGATTTGGAAATTCATCACAAACATATTGCGTACAAAAGAGCACACCGTATGGTGTGTACTCTAATCGTACTGGCAAGCTGTTTTATTGTTTTTTTTTTATAGCTTCACGATTATACAAGTGCACCGATGCATTGTCGTCCATTGCAAAGAGCGTTAGCAGTAAGCAATCATAAAAGCAACCTCAGAAGTGTTTATTAACAGTTTGTGCACATCCAGACATTGCTTTGCATATCCATTATATGATACATGCAGTGGAACAATGCACCATATTTATTTCACGGGTTGGTAGGTATTCATTTGCATTCAAACAACGATGACCTTTTTTTTTTTAAACCGTCACATTGAGTTTGTTTTTCAGGTCTACAACAATCAGGCGAAATAAATTGGTTTGCTTTAAAAAAAATACTGCTTATTGCTGAAACACAACATACAGTGATACCATTAATTAATTTTCAGCGGAATCTGCCTAATATCATTGTGGTCTCAAAGCTCGTAACATTAATCAACAGTGACCCTCGATGGACGGGGGCCAAACAAACAATATTAGTGTGCACCAGCATGTAACATTTAATTGTTTCCTCAGTGTCTAAATACACGTTTGCGTACCATTTAATTTTTCCATAGAGCAAAAAAAAACCGGTCGTGGTGGATTCACTGCACCCGGAATATTATTCGTAGGTTTAAAGCAATGCCACCTGTTTGTCATGCACGATGCAGCCTCTTCCGCTGACAGATTAAGACAAGCACAGAAGCCAAGCCCATTCCTCCACGGTGCATCCTCGCAGTCTAGCTGTTAATTTCAACAACGAACCGCTGCGAGCGAGCTAGCAGTGAGTACGTACGTTGAACTTCTTTCGCACCGTACGTTAGCCGACCGCACTAATCGGAGGTGCGGGGGCAGGACAACAATACTAAACACAAAAAGCAGTTCTCGAGAAATTCGTTTTAAATCCAGATTTTTTAAACAGCTCCAGTGGCTCCCTTATATCATGCCGGGTGTTATTTGGGATTTGTTTTCAGCGATGACACAAAATAACTATTCTCGTCAAAATATAATCAGAATCTTTATTTATCCTGGAGAAATCCGATTAGCTATGAAGCTCCTTTTTCCCATAGATGTCTAGTAGGGGGCGGCTCAGACCGATACAACAACAACCCCCGCTAGGAGTGTAAAGTATCGTAAAGGTAAGCAAATCACTGAAAATAAATTAATAAGTAGCAAATAAACTATTTTTATTTTACGAGGTAATGCCCATTGAGCTATTTGTTCTTTTTCAGAAGCAACCTGGTCCCAAATGATAGCTCAATGAAGTGGCTTATGTGCAAATTTATATCAGTCGAAAAAATCTAAATGCATGTTTCTAAATGTGGAGTGAAAAAACAGAGGACCCAGAGAAGAAAACCCACGCGATCACAGTGAGAACACGTACAACTCCAAAAATACAGCAGGCGCCAGGGTCGGGATTGAACTGACGGCATCCTGCATACCAGACGAGAAAGATAACATCAAATAGAACAGTTTATAATCTGTCAAAACACAAGATGAATAACGTGAAGCTGAAAAACTGTGACAACCGAGACATTGGCCAGTCACCAGTCTGGCTTAAAAAAAATCCAACAGCTGGTGACATCGTAACTTCAGTCTGAGAGGAGAGAGGGTTGCTGAGAGCATAATCATTCTCATGCGAAACGTGTGGATTATGGGAGTGAGACTACATCGATTAGTATAGATTCCTAAGGCTCACGTTCCATGAGAAATTGTGCACATAAGAATTAATGTTCATTTGGTTTATGCTAATTACCTTGAAATTATAATCTAATATCTCAATTCGGCAAATGGTGTGAACAAAACTCTACAAACGTCATAAAAATTATAATTGAAAAACAATACAAACGAGACCGTAAAAAACGAGATACAAAAATTATACCTTCTTGATTCAAATTATGCCCTGAATCTGCATGATCCATCGACTCATTACACCCCCAATGCAGGAAGGAGTTTAATTAACTACAGTAATTAGAAGCAGGAACAAGGATTAAGAATGCACCGGTGCTGGATTTACACCAGATGGGAACTCTTGAGGAAGCTGCATCGATTAGTGGAGCCAATCTGCTGGGGGAAACGCTCAGAGGCCACTTCCTACAAATTCCAATTATTGAATTAACAAAATTATTTGGTGGTACAGGAGCACAAATGCAATAAAAAAAACCTAAACACATGCGTCAATAACACTGTTGCCCTAAAAGGGAAAAAAATATAATGGGTAATGCTTCAGGCGATGGTCCTTCTTCATAGAACCTGTGCCATGTTTTACGCGCTATGACGAAGGTCCATTGTCCAAAGCATCGCCCTATTATAGAGTTCCCATTTAAGGCCACACAGCCTGATTGACGAATGTTGACCATTTTTGCGATTCAGAGTATCGAGTTGACACCACCTGGGCTGAGTTTGTTTCCCTGTTCGAAGGCCAGAGCCCACGAATCGCCACCACCAAATCTCGACACAGACACGATCGTTCTTCCCGAGCCGCTTCGCTGTTCTCGAAGGTCAAAGTTCTACCTGTGTGGTCTCAGAGATGTTTGATTTCCGAGGTGGGTGCCGAGCTGAGTGCTCTCTCGTTTTTGCTGCACCTTAATATTGTTGCTATCTCTTCAGGCCCATCGGTGGCGGTTACTAAATTTTTTTGCGGGAAGCACAGCCCGGAGGCGTTGATGTCAAGACTGCGGTAACATTTGTGGCCTTGAAGGAGATAAGTGACGTGCACACGTGTCTGTGTATACACTCGTCCACAAACAAACAAAGGTTCCTCACATAGCGTACATAGGCTATTTGGGGCAAGTGCTGTTAGTGCAATGGATAAGGGGATGGTGTGGTCAGAACAACACCTGACCGTCTTTGTCTCTCCCTGTGATGTTTGCGCATCACGTAATATGCTCACGTACTAAGGGGAGGCGCGGGATTGCTTTAGATATTCACCACTGATACTGGCCATGGACTGGAATCAAACTCGGGTTGCCGAGTACATAGCGTAGTGCAATCACCACGACGCCACTGATCCACCCATACAAAGATCCCCCGTGTGGGCTACAGAGACTTGGAGCAAGTGTTGTTAGCTAGCACCTATGCCAGACACACAACATGCTCATACTTAGGGCATGTATGCATACGTCGCAGGGACCATAATACTGCCAAGTGAGGAGAAACTAAAATATAGCAATTTGTAAAATATGTGAACAAATGCCTTTCATGCACAGAGTGTGACTGACATTTGTTTGATGTTGCTCATCACGTTTGTTTTTCTGTTCGTCACCATTTTAATTACCTTATAATCGCTTTAATCTTTTTAAATATGTCAATGCAAAAGCTATGCACATAATGTATAATTCGTTGTGCTACTGTTTTGGGGTTGTTATTTTGGTGGGGGGGGGGGAGTGGGAATACGTTCATCTATTGCACAAATGGTACAAAGGTACTGTTTCGTTTGTAGACATGAATGTGATGTGTGCTGTGCAAGACGCTGGCAGGCCAGCACTGATCAATGGAATTATATATCCTAAACAAGAATCATTCTATAGCAGAGAATTGTGGAACCGTGTCCTTACTGCGAGCCGAATAGGACTTTCAAATTCTAGATTTGAAGCTTTCGTGACTGCAAGGATTCAAACTCTTAGTTTTTTCGGTAAAGTCACGTGACTTACCGAAAAAACTAAGAGTAGGACTTTCAAACTCATTTGGTGGGCCCGCACGTTAGTTGGCACCAAACAGCTAGGACTGTATGCATCGAATGGGTCTGCACGGCACATCTTGAAAGACAACAGAGCGGCTGAACGTGCTAAAACTAGAAAGTTGTTCTAGATTTGAAGCTTTCGTGACTGCAAGGATTCATATTCTTAAGTTTTTTCAGTAAAGTCACGTAGGTAAAAAAATGTTAATTAATAAAAGTAAAATAAAAATAAAATAAAAATCACGACGTTTCGGAGGCAACACAAGCTTCCGTCTTCAGGTGGAACCGTCACAGCACGATAGCTGTATCAATAGCTGTATGAAAACGGAAGCTTGTGTTGCCTCCGAAACGTCGTGATTTTTATTTTATTTTTATTTTACTTATATTATTTTTTATTATGTTTTTTACCTACGTGACTTTACCGAAAAAACCTAAGTATAGAAACTTGTTGCTTTTTCCGGGTCAAAAATATGCCCCTCTAACATCTGATTAGTGTGGCTAAAATCCTTGGAGTGGTGGATAATTATTGTTTGTGCGGCCTTTGCGCAGTGGTAGGCCTGTCCACATGAAATAAATTCACTGGTACTATTCAATACGCAGGGCCATAGGTTCCCAACTTCTGTTCTATAGGTGAATATCATCAGCCTTAGGGCCACTTATATTTTGGTGCTATTCAGCCATTTAAATGTTTGGTCATAGTGTCTATGAGGACGTTGTAAATTACATGTTTTTTTGGAATCTGTGTTTTTCAACAGAATGCAATTATTCTGTCCGTGTGCTTTAATTCCCGTACAGATAATGTTTCATTTATTTTAAATTATGTAACTGCAACGGCCTAATTGGTTTGTATGTTAAAATATATATGCACACTTTTGAAGTAAGTATGGCATGCAAATTAAATGTAATGACTTTAATCTGGTGATATTCATGCCAGTGATGATGTTTAAAAAAAAAAGTAAACTTTTATGTCAACCATCATTTATCATTTTAATCAACTAAACATTTTTTTACATTTTTTAAAACTTACCGTTCACATACTTGAGGCCTTGTTATCAATCTACTCTGGATATTTTCGTTTTAGTTTTATCGAACACCAATAATCTTTTGCATTCACACGCGTATATTGCATCCGCAAAGCAATTCTTTAAAAGATGTTTTTGTATTCCTGACATACTATTTTGCACTGTACTTTACGTAAAATCATGGTGCTAGCACTGTTTGAAATAAAACTTGTCATGCAAAAATAAAGAAATAAACGCTACAACGTTGTATGTGTCATCTATTGTCCTCTCTTAATAGACAGTTCTTTGATATTATCTCCAGCCTTTGTGTCTTGGGATCTCCCCGAATCCACCGAATCCAATCACGGGGCAATCCTTCTAACCCTAAGAATATTATTTCCAAATAATAAACGTACTGGATCATCTAATCATTCCTATGAATGTGAGCGTGTGATCTCCTGACAAATCTGCCAAGACATCATGTTCACCCATGCTCTTTATTTATTTGCATAATAATTTGAAACCCGAGTTGGCAGACATCAGCAATGTAATGGCCAGAAAATAGTCAACAAAAAGTCACATTGTCCGACTTATTCCTCGTTCACTGACAATCTAGCAGAAATGACGAGTGCTCTAATGACATTTGTTTTTTTTCTTCTTGGTTCTTTCGGTAAAGTCACGTAGAATGGAAATAATAAAATAATAAAAACATAACATAATAAAATACAAAAATGTTTTATTTGTATTACTTTATTATTTACATTCTACGTGACTTTACCGAAAGAACCAAGAAGATGACTCCCTGCAGTCACGAAAGCTTTAAATCGACATTTGTTTTATTTGCCGCTGCCCGCGTGAAATCTACCTGTCACCGTGGGCTCACTCAAGGCGTGTGCACACCTGGGCCCTGTACGGCGCCCGTTTTCACTTTCGCTTGTGTCCGTTTCAGCCTGGCCCTGTAACATAACATTGTTGATCAACGACCCTCGGTCATTGTCAGTCGTGGGGTTTGTTTTGACCATAGGGCCCGTCCATAAATGACGTCACACGATTTTGGACGATTTTTGACCCCCCCCCCCCCCCCCATCGTCACACGGCGTCACAAAAATTCAGACCCCCCCCCTCAAATATGACGTCACAAAGCTCTGCCCCCCCCCCAAAATAAAACATGCTTCAAAGCGCTTTAAACTACAGTATTGTCATTGTAGTGCGTATTTAATGTGGCGCTGCACTCTGATGTTGCAGGAGAAAACATTCATTAAAAAGTCGATTTAATTAAGTAGAACGTGTTGTCTATATTTATTTAAAGTTGCGCATTTTGATGTGACGTCACATTTTTCAAACCCCCTCCCCCCCTCTTCACACATCTTCACAAATGTCTGACCCCCCCCCCCCCAGGTGCGTGACGTCATTTATGGACGGCCTCATACTTGACCACGCTTGTCAGTATGGGTTGGTGAAGGGGGAGCCTAATACTAGTTCCAATACCACTTTCCGTTGATGTTAACCGTGGCCGAGAACTAAACTCAGGTCACCGTGTTCATGGCACAGCGGTGAGCACACGTTCTGCGTCCACAGTTGTCATCCATTCGCCACATGAAATAATACAGTGAGGGAAAAAAGTATTTGATCCCCATGGGTTTTTCTGGATTTTTTTGTTGTTATTCTGTCTCTCACTGTTCAAATAAACCTACCATTAAAATTATAGACTGATCATTTGTCAGTGGGCAAACACACAAAATCAGCAGGGGATCAAATACTTTTTTCACTCACTGTAACTACAGTGCTTTGTCAATCCATTGCTTAGAATATATATGTAATATATGAATGCCTCCCCACGCCACACCGGTTAACGGGGTTAATTGACCATACTTCGCCTCACCGGCCAATGCGGGTTGGGGAAAGGGGAGACTACCAAGGACTCAAATATATATAAACAAATCAGAATTAATTTCAAATATAATTGGAAATACAGTATGTCCATAACACGGATAATATGGCATTAACAATTTAAAAGCTCTTATATTGAAATGAATGCAGTTTTTATCATTCATCACAACAGTCTATTATGAACTATTTGTTCATACACATACTAAACTTCTTACCAGAACCGTCTGTTATTTAAATTTATAATAATTGTTGATGCACATCCATGATTAATGTTTGCCACTTACGATGATGTGCAGGGTCGCTCAACACATACTTTTTGCATTCAGAATTCCCTCGTTATTCACGAACTTGCTATCTGCTATTTTGGCTATCCGGGAATCGCATCTGGAGCTCCACACGACTGCATCGAGCGAGAGAGAGCAAGTGATTAGCTAAAGTGATGAGAGAAAGAATATGATGGAACAAACTGATGAAATAAAAATATGAGAGAGATAGATAACTTCTCGAAGCTTTAGAAGCATCTGCAGACGTGTAGTGACGGCTATCGGGTCACTACGGCGTTTAGCGCCAGTTACTGAGAGAAGGGTGCAACTGTGCGTCTCTCTGGCACTAGAGTACGTATGGCATGGAAGGGGGCCCTAGGGGGCATGGTTCTGGTGACAGTGAAGGCAGTTGAGGATGTGGCAGTCTGGGTGAACCCAAGAGGGCCACGTGATCAGTCCAGGATAATGAGGGGGGCCAAAAGGTGGCGAAAGGGACACGTGATGTATGGCCCAGAACCTTCTAGTAGGATCTAGAAGGGGGCGTGACCGAGGGCGGAGCCAGGCCACGCTCAGGCTGTTGAAATGGAACCCGTTGGTGCTACGTCTCTTCGATCCTCGGTCTTCGGTCTTTACGCTTGGCATCGTGGGTCAGGCAGTGTGTTACTGACTGACCCAGTTATGTAGTTACCCCGTTGTGGTGTAGTTACCAGTTGTGATGTAGTTAACCTGTGTACGTTTATGTAGTTACCAATGTTGGGGTGTGAGGATAAGCGTGCTGCCTCCAAGTTCAAGTGTGTGCCTCCGTGGAAGCCACTACACATGTGTAGAATGTTTGTCAGCCAATATCATCCGCGAAATTTTCTTTTCACAAGCATCTCCGGAATGTATCCCTCGCAAATAACGAGGGAACACTGTCGTCCACAATCATCCCTACGTCTACCCATTACACATCAGGAGCATTATGCAAAAATCTACAGACAAGGAAGAAAAGGTATGCAAAAGCATGAACTCTGCAATGCTTTACAATATACATTGGTCCTCGCAAATGTTTTATTTATAAATGAACGAATACTTCTTGTTCTGACATACAGATACTAAATTATGACGTTAATGGACACAACGGAAAGTGTGAAAATAAGAATTTTAAATAGGTAACGTTCTTAAGAGGAACTCTGCTTGATACTAAAATGTCGTAAATATTGGCTCACCTTTACAATAATTATCATGACCACCCGCACGCAACAGGCAGACAGACTGACCGAAAGAGAGCTGGAGGTTGAGCGGGTGCAAAAATCCTTTCAACTTTAGATGGAACGCGTTATATAACACTGGTCAACAAACAAACAAAAAATTTCTGGCCTGGACTTTTGCAGCTGTTTTAGACTAATTTCAGGGTGCTGATTCCAAATCTGATCTCAGATTTGCTCTATCACATCTCATTTTATGCTATCGGCATACCCCATTTTCATTGATTTTACCTGAAATTAACTCTGCCACTTATGATTGCAAGTTGTTGCGAGTCAGTGACTGCTTTAGTGTTAAAATATGGTGCTGTATTTTTAGGATAGTGTGTTTATAATATAATTTTATGTAGATATCCACATTTATTTAATATTTTTCTTCAGCAGCTTTTATTGAAAATGCAATATTTAATATCTCAAAAACCTGATGTGATATTCAAAAACCGATGCCATATTTGGAATCAGCACCCCAAAATTACCTTAAAACCGTTGGAATACCTTATGCCAGAAAAAGTGTGTTGACCAGTGTTATAAAACCGTTGGAATACCTTATGCCAGAAAAAGTGTGCTGACCAGTGTTATAAAACCGTTGGAATACCTTATGCCAGAAAAAGTGTGTTGACCAGTGTTATAAAACCGTTGGAATACCTTATGCCAGAAAAAGTGTGCTGACCAGTGTTATAAAACCGTTGGAATACCTTATGCCAGAAAAAGTGTGCTGACCAGTGTTATAAAACCGTTGGAATACCTTATGCCAGAAAAAGTGTGTTGACCAGTGTTATAAAACCGTTGAAATACCTTATGCCAGAAAAAGTGTGCTGACCAGTGTTATAAAACCGTTGAAATACCTTATGCCAGAAAAAGTGTGTTGACCAGTGTAATAAAACCGTTGAAATACCTTATGCCAGAAAAAGTGTGTTGACCAGTGTAATAAAACCGTTGGAATACCTTATGCCAGAAAAATTGTGCTGACCAGTGTTATAAAACCGTTGGAATACCTTATGCCAGAAAAAGTGTGTTGACCAGTGTTATAAAACCGTTGAAATACCTTATGCCAGAAAAAGTGTGTTGACCAGTGTTATAAAACCGTTGAAATACCTTATGCCAGAAAAAGTGTGTTGACCGGTGTTATAAAACTGTTGGAATACCTTATGCCAGAAAAAGTGTGCTGACCAGTGTTATAAAACCGTTGGAATACCTTATGCCAGAAAAAGTGTGTTGACCAGTGTTATAAAACCGTTGGAATACCTTATGCCAGAAAAAGTGTGTTGACCAGTGTTATAAAACCGTTGGAATACCTTATGCCAGAAAAAGTGTGTTGACCAGTGTTATAAAACCGTTGGAATACCTTATGCCAGAAAAAGTGTGTTGACCAGTGTTATAAAACCGTTGGAATACCTTATGCCAGAAAAAAGTGTGTTGACCAGTGTTATAAAACCGTTGGAATACCTTATGCCAGAAAAAGTGTGTTGACCAGTGTTATAAAACCGTTGGAATACCTTATGCCAGAAAAAGTGTGTTGACCAGTGTTATAAAACCGTTGGAATACCTTATGCCAGAAAAAGTGTGTTGACCAGTGTTATAAAACCGTTGGAATACCTTATGCCAGAAAAAGTGTGTTGACCAGTGTTATAAAACCGTTGGAATACCTTATGCCAGAAAAAGTGTGTTGACCAGTGTTATAAAACCGTTGGAATACCTTATGCCAGAAAAAGTGTGTTGACCAGTGTTATAAAACCGTTGGAATACCTTATGCCAGAAAAAGTGTGCTGACCAGTGTTATAAAACCGTTGGAATACCTTATGCCAGAAAAAGTGTGTTGACCAGTGTTATAAAACCGTTGGAATACCTTATGCCAGAAAAAGTGTGTTGACCAGTGTTATAAAACCGTTGGAATACCTTATGCCAGAAAAAGTGTGTTGACCAGTGTTATAAAACCGTTGGAATACCTTATGCCAGAAAAAGTGTGCTGACCAGTGTTATAAAACCGTTGGAATACCTTATGCCAGA